TAAATAAATAAATAAATAAATAAATAAATAAATAAATAAATAAATAAATAAATAAATAAATAAATAAATAAATAAATAAATAAATAAATAAATAAATAAATAAATAAATAAATAAATAAATAAATAAATAAATAAATAAATAAATAAATAAATAAATAAATAAATAAATAAATAAATAAATAAATAAATAAATAAATAAATAAATAAATAAATAAATAAATAAATAAATAAATGGTGTTACAGAAACTAAATCTTAAAATGTGAAAGAAAGAGAGGGAAAGATGGGAGGAGAAAAAGATGAAGGAATGGAGGGAGGGAGGAAGAAAGGAAGGAAAGAAGAAAGGAAGAAGGGAGGCAGGGAAGAAAAGAGAAGGGGGGTGGGTAAAATATGTGCTTCTTCAGGGCTGGTATTTAGCATGCAGATGCTAACATGGCTGCGCAAGTTGTTAAAATATTGAAATAATCTTATACCATTTGGCCATTGCTTCCCTGAACTCCCTAAGTGGCCCCTTTCCTAATAATGGGGTAATCCAAGCATGAAGACCTGGCACAGGGGGTGCTGCCAGCCTCTGCTTTAGCTCCAGTCCTGGCATCTGGTCGCCACAGTCAGTGCCTGTGCCTCAGCAGGGGTTCGATGCTTTGAACAGCACCTCTGGGTTTACCCAACTGAATCCCCAAGTAGCCCGTGTAGAGAAGAGACACATTCTAGGACCTGAGTCACCTTACCTTTGATGTGGCAGACCCTTCTGGGATGAGGGGTGTGCCTGACTAGATAACAACTTCCACTTCTAGACACACTATGGCTGCCTTTGCTCTCAAATTGAGGAGTAGACGCTGGGGATTTGAGGCTCATGTTCACGGAGTGTTGGTTTCTCCCTCTCCACTGTTGCCACAAAATGCCTTGGGGTCTACCTTAGCCTGGCTTCCACTTCCAAAGGTGCTCATACCCTGAAATCACAGAATGACAATCGTTCCGTCAAGGGGTTCTTGACATTTTCTTACACAGCAATTATTTCTCCACCTTCTTTGTTTGCACTAAATTATTTCTCGTTTCAAAGCAATGTGAAGCTATTCTGCTTTTGGACCACATTTTTTGTAAACTTTGAAATCAATCTAGGCATGGGTGGAACAGAAAAATTTTCTCCTGGAAAAATCAAAACATTTGAGAGAAACTTAGAGTATATTCTATATTGAATTGCATTTAAGGTCACTTGGTTGACTTTCCAACATAAAAATAGATAACATCGCCCTAACCAGTTTGGCTCAATGGATAGAGCGTCGGCCTGCGGACTCAAGGGTCCCAGGTTCGATTCCGGTCAAGGGCATGTACCTTGGTTGCGGGCACATCCCCAGTGGGGAGTGTGCAGGAGGCAGCTGATCTATGTTAAGTTTAGAAGAGGAGCCTGAGTCTAGGATACACATTTGAAAGTATTTGCCCTACAGAGGATATTTGAAACTTGTGAGTGGGTAAATTTGACAAGGCTCTCAGTAAATTAGAGAGAGAAAATGGTCAACGACTGCACTGTGGAGGAACGGCAACATTTACTGCAGAATCAGCAAAAATAAAAGCTGGGAAGGAGAAACCATAGAGGTAGGAGAAAAAATAAATGCACAGCAAAACAAACCATAAACAAAACAACAAGAAAGCCCACTGCAGGGGAGAACGTATTTGCCAATGTTATCTTCGATAAGGATTTAATCTCCAAGATTTATAGGGAACTCATACAACTTAACAAAAGGAAGATAAATAATCCAATAAAAAA